GCACGCAGGCGCCGTCCGGCCCGGCCCGGCCGCCGCCGCCGCCGCCGCTGTCGCCCCGCCGCATCGCGCAGGCGCCCCGCGTGCGCCACCTTGCGGACGCCCGGCCCGCCGCTCTGCGCCTGCGCGCCCCTCGCGCCGGCCGCCACCGCCTTTCCCAGAGCCTCTTGGACGCCCCGCCCCAGGCCGGGCGGTGGGAAATAGGCAGTCAGAAAGCCCAGCGGGGGAGCCACGCCCCTCGCGGCCAGAGCACACAGCCGCTTCCAATGAATCTCGCCTATCGCCAGCTCGCGGCCTCCCATTGGCTTTCTCTCGCCGGGAGGCGGGGAGAAGAGGCGGGGCGTCGGCCTAGCGCCTGGCCAATCGCGGGGCCCAGCGCGCGCGCCCTCGGTTGCCCCGGGAAACCTAACAGCTTGCGTTCGCGCTGCGCTGCCCCGGCTGAGCCGGGCGGAGATGGACGGCCTGTCCGAGCACACTAACGACCCCGGCGGGGAAAGCGGAGACAGGGAAAGCCTGGCCGCGCGGCCGTCCGAGATCAAGGCCAGCTCTGGCCCTCCGACCCCGCCCGCACCCGGGCAGCCGGGGTCAGAGCTGGAGGAGGAGGAGGAAGAGGAGAAGGAGGAGGAGGCGGCTTCGCAGGGAGGTACCGCCGCGGACCAGCAGGCCGAGGCCTCGAAAGGGCTAACGGCCGCCGAGGTCGAGGGCGTGGAGGGGCCTGGAGCGCCGGCGAGGCTGGCCGAGCCCCAGTCCGAGCCCGAGCCCGAAGAGCCGGCCCAGGCCGGGGCTGAGGAGCCCGTCCAGCCGGAGCCCGGAGCCGGGCACCTGGAGCTAGAGGCGGAGGCGGGGGTGGAGGAGGAGCTGGAGCAGGCGGCGGAGGGGAAGGAAGCGCCGTCCCTGACCTCCCTGCCGCTGCCCAGGATCGGCTTGAAAGAGGCTGCTGCTGCAGCCCGGGAGGCTGAGACAGAGCAGGTGGAGGAGGAGGAGGAGGAGGAGACGCAGAGAGATGGCGCAGAGAGTGAGGGGAGGGGTGAGGAAGGACGCCCGGCCAAGAGCCAGGAAGAGGGGAAGCGCCTTGGTGGAAGGGACCAGCTTGAGGACTTGGAGTGGTCCGAGGAGGTCCAGAGGCTGCAGGAGCAGCAGCTGCGCAGCGACCTCCTGGACCAGTACCGTTCCCTGCTAGTGGAGCGGAAGCGCTCCCAGCGCTACAACCTGTACCTGCAGCACAAGATCTTCGAGGCGCTGCGCAAGAAGAAGGGCCTGGAGGCCGCTGAGGTGCCTGACCAGGGCGCGGAGGCCGAGGCCCCCGAGAAAGAGCAGGTGTACCTGCGCCATCTGGGCATGCTGGAGGAGCTGAAGAAGCAGCAGGCAGACGACCTGCAGTGGTACCACCAGGAGCTGGGCCAGCTGAAGCGGCAGTGCCAGGAGAAGCTCACCAGGGTGGAGAAGGAGTGGCGACGCTTCCAGGCACTCAAGAAGCAGGTGGTGATGCAGGCCATGGGCAGCTGTCGGATGAGGGGCGGGCGCCAGGCTGCTCTGCGAGAGGTGGAGCAGATCCAGGCGCTGGAGGATAAAAAGGAGAAGGAGATGAGCGCCGTGAGACTAGAAAACGTGCAGCTGAAGCAGAGCCTGGTGCATTTTGAAACCAGGATGAGGACCCAGGAGGACCTGACCGAGGGTCTGCTCCTCATTGACTTTGAACAGCTGAAGATTGAGAACCAGACCTTCAATGAGAAAATTGAGGAACGAAATGAGGAACTTTTAAAACTTCGCAACAAGGTGACCAACAGTGTGCAAGTAGTAACCCACGTGAAGGAAAAGCTTCACTTCATGGACGTGGAGAACGCATGCAAAAAGACACAGCTGGCAGAAATCGAGGCCCAGGTCGCCCTAAGAAGAGACATCCTGACCAAGACGAAGCAAGCCCGCGAGGGGCTGCGGGCGGACAACATCAGGCTGAACCAGAGGTGCGGGCTTCTAGGCAAGGAGTCACTCCTTCGGGACTTGGAAGAAAAGGTGGACAAGACGGAACTGCTCCGCGGGCGCCTGGAATCCCTGAAGCGCCACCACGCTGGGCTCACTTTGTCCTGCAGAGGCGTGAGGCAGAAGATCAGGGAGGCCAGAGCCTTTCTCCCCTCTTGACCATATCGACGAGAAGACTGCAAGTCCTCAGGATATGCTGTCCGACCTTCTTTTTTTTTTTTTTTTACCTTTGATGCCATTCTTAAAAAGGCCTGTGATATTTGGGATGGAACTGTATTTTGTATTGATCTCAAAACGTTTCAGCTTCCAAATTAGTGCTGAGCCCAAAATTCAGTTAGGAGTTTTATTTGGGATTGAGCAAAGCAGGTCCAGAAAAGCAAAGCATGATTTAATGTAACTAACTTATGAAAATCTGCTGAAAGTCTTAAGTCTGAGCAATTCCATGATTTCAACGACTTAATTCTAAGGAGTACTGTTCCTCTTTCATATGTAGGAGGGTTTAAATGTTCAGTGAATGGGCAAGGTACAAAAAAAATCCTGTGCTAATTATTAAATTCTGTAGATTTATTAAACTGTGTAGTCCCACATCACTGTTTCAGTTAGAAGCTCACTAATCCCCTTAATCTTTTTTTTTTTTTTGAGATAGAGTCTTGCTTTGTAGCCCAGGCTGGAGTGCAATGGCGCAGTCTCAGCTCACTGCAACCTCTGCCTCCAGGGTCCCAGTTCAAGCAATTCTACCTCAGCCTTCCAAGTAGTTGGGACTACAGGCATGAGCCACCATGCCCAGCTAATTTTTGTATTTTTTTTTTTTAGTAAGTGACAGGGTTTCACCATGTTGGCCAGTCTGGTCTTGAACTCCTGACCTCATGATCTGCCCACCTTGGCCTCCCAAAGTGCTGGGGTTACAGGCATGAGCCACTGCACCCGGCCAGATTAATCTTAAATTTCAGTGATTTCATATGTGACTAGCATGAGCTTTGGGAGCAATACAAATATCCAGGAAACAGGAGAGGAGCTGATATTTCTTCATCATTCCTTTTTCAGTGAAAGGGAGTTCAGTCTACTCACTGTTGATGTCTGGTTCTGCTTCAGTGGCAGTCCTCAATTCTTTTTATTTTTTTCCTGAGACAGGGTCTCACTCTGTCTCCAGGCTGGAGTCCAGTGGCAGGATCTCAGCTCAACTGACCTATGCCTCCCAGGTTCAAGCGATTCTCCAGCCTCAACCTCCCAAGCAGCTGGGATTACAGACACACACCAACACGCCCAGCTAATTTTTGTATTTTTAATAGAGGTGAGGTTTCACCCTGTTGGTCAGGCTGGTCTCGTTCTCCTGGGCTCAAGCGATCCATCTCCCTTGGCTTCTCAAAGTGCTGGGATTACAGGCGTGAGCCACCATGCCCGGCCTGACAGTCTTCAGTTTCTAATGAAACATGTTTTTGGATCCTCTGAAGAAATGCGTTGATCTGTACCAAAAAATGAAATTTTGTTTTCCAATGAAAACAAAATAACAGTTGTATTGCATGCTTTGCAAGGTGCAAAATATAGGCACGGTGGCTACTGGCATCGCAGAAGAGCGCCTTCTGCATCAGCTGGACCCTTTCAGATCTCAACAGGGCATTGCTGTGCGTGAGTTCACTGAGCAGCAAATAGTAAAATGCCTCTTACTCCTTGTGTTCATGTTAAAAATACCTGATAGGTCTATTTCCTTAATGTAGTATCAGTGATTATCTTGGAGCTGGGGGCTTGTTTTCATTTCTTCTTAATCCTAGATTGAATTTTGAGATGTGTGGACTTGGGGTTAAATAAGTATTCTCCCACTCCTAAACTTAAGTGAATCATAAAAATGTGACACCGTTTTTGGTGCTGGATAACTCTGAAGAATGGTGGGAACCCAGCTCTGGGCAGGGGACTCAGTCGTGAGCTTTATCTTTGGATGCCATGATTTTGTTTGTTTCTTTGGGTTGTTTTTATTTTTTGAGATGGAGTCCCACTCTGTTGCCCAAGCTGGAGTGCAGTGGTATGATCTCGGCTCACTACAACCTCTGCCTCCCAGGTACAAGCGATTCTCCTACCTCAGCCTCCTGAGCAGCTAGGGCTACAGGCACGCACCACAATGCCCACCTAGTTTTTTGTATTTTTTAGTAGAGACAGGGTTTCACCATATTGGCCAGGCTGGTCTCAAACTCTGGACCTCGTGATCCTCCTGCTGATCATAAGTTCAGATGTGAGCCATCACACCTGGCCATGATTTTGTTTTCTAAAGTATGCTCCCTTGGAAGCCAATGAAGTTTGATTAAAATTCCTTTTCTAACTTTCATGGCTTGAATATACTTTATTATATCAAACCACTGAAAAGTAGTAATGAGTTAAATAAAAAAGCTTGGGCCGGTCACGGTGACTCACACCTGTAATCCCAACACTTAAGAAGGTCGAGGCGGGTAGACTACTTGAGCCCAGGAGTTTGAAACCAGCCTGAGAAACACCTCAAAACCCCATCTGTATAAAAATACAAAAAGATTGGCCGGGTGTGGTGGCGCACACCTGCAGTCCCTCCCAGGTGGGAGGATCAATTGAGGCTCAGGGGCGGGTGTGGAGCTCCTGTGAGCAGTGATCGTGCCACTGCACTCCAGACCGTGCAACACAGTGAGACCCCGTCTCTAAAAGCTTTGACTTCCGGCTTCCATTCTCAGTCACTCACTCACCGCCATTTTAGTCTTCCCTCTACGCTATATATCAAAGCAAATCACTGGCAAATAGAATTTCCTGTGTGCCTCAAACTAGAAGCAGGACAGGCCCACTGGGCTCTTCTGTAGCCAGGGAGGCCTCAAGTGGACCTGGCAATGATGCTTCGACACCTGACCAAGCAGGTGACTTTTGTGATAACGGTGTCCTTTATCCCTTTGATTCACTGCAGGGAGAATCGACCCACCAGTGATTATCTAGATCCAAGCAAACCCTCCCTCCCCAGCCTCGAGCCCGGTAACAAGCAGATCTCTCAGAGCACAAAGATACAAAGGAGTTTGCTGAGTCTGACATTGCTTTAAGCTGCAAAGCAAACCTGTCCTAAGTGACTATATAGTGAGTTACCAATGTTTTCTCAAATTACAGTACCTTATGCTGGAAATGTTACAATTAATTAGTAGATAATCTTCTGTTAATTATCTCCTACCACAGTTCTTTCCAATTATAGGAGAGTGCTTAATCATGAAATAGCAACACACCCATAAATTGATAGATGGCTTCTGAAGAATTCTACAGACCCTGACGCACTGTCTGTCCCCAGAGCCTCACTGAAGGGCTGTTAGTGCCTCCACAGAAGCCTGTGTGCAGCACAACTCAGCCTTTGATTTCCTGCTTAGCAATGGTGTACTTAGGTACCTGTTCCTTCCAGACAAAGTCCAGGAAGGCAAAGACTGTTGGTTCGTCACCCTCCCTAGTGGCCAGCACAGGGCCTGGCATATGAACGGTACTCTGTAAATGTGTTGGATTAATACATTGATAAAATGCCCATCTCATTCATTTTCCAAAAATAAGTATTACTTGAATGCCTATCAGGTGTCAGGCACTGGTAAGTCCTGTGTTGGATTCAAAAATAATCCTAGGCAGAAAGAGGATGTCTCAAGACCTAGAACCAGTTAGGGAAAACAGCAGAATGGCAGACTTGTAGCCAGAGTAGGAAGGCACCACAGGTAAAGAGTTGATCTGGCTGGGCGCGCTGGCTCACGCCTGTAATCCCAACACTTTGGGAGGCCGAGGCGGGTGGATCACGAGGTCAAGAGATCGAGACCATCCTGGTCAACACGGTGAAACCCCGTCTCTACTAAAACTACAAAAAATTAGCTGGGCATGGTGGCGCGTGCCTGTAATCCCAGCTACTCAGGAGGCTGAGGCAGGAGAATTGCCTGAACCCAGGAGGCAGAGGTTGCGGTGAGCCGAGATCGCGCCATTGCACTCCAGCCTGGGTAACAAGAGCGAAACTCGGTCTTCAAAAAAAAAAAAAAAAAAAAAAAAAAGAGTTCATCATTCCAGCAGGGAATGCAGCTGCTCCAAATGCAGCAGCTGGGCTAGAAACCTCTAAGACGCAATGATTTTTTAAAAGACTGTCATCTCCTCGTCAAAAAGTACAGGACCCAGAAAATGTTGGCACTGAATACATTTTGAGTGAGATGTTATATAAAATTAGAACTTTTTTGAACAAATAGGTATGTATCAACACGGAGACACTGAGGTCTGTCCCCTCCAGTGTTAAATTGCAGGAAGCCGGGCCGGGCACGGTGGCTCAAGCCTGTAATCCTAGCACTGTGGGAGGCCGAGGCGGGTGGATCACGAGGTCAAGAGATCGAGACCATCCTGGTCAACATGGTGAAACCCCGTCTCTACTAAAAATACAAAAAAATTAGCTGGGCATGGTGGCGCACGCCTGTAATCCCAGCGACACAGGAGGCTGGGGCAGGAGAATTGCCTGAACCCGGGAGGCGGAGGGTGCAGTGAGCTGAGATCGCGCCATTGCACTCCAGCCTGGGTAACAAGAGCGAAACTCCGTCTCAAAAAAAAAAAAAAAAATTGCAGGAAGCCTTCTGGTTTTAGCAGCAGTAGCAAGAGTAAACCAGACACTGACTCAGGACAGCCCAAGGTGTGAAAAGGAAACACTTTTTCATTGGTAAAGGAAAATCATTTTTGCTGACTTAACACACTTGAGATTAATTTTTTTTTTTTATTAGATAGAGTTTCGCTCTTATTACCCAGGCTGGAGTGCAATGGCACTATCTCGGCTCACTGCAACCTCTGCCTCCTGGATTCAAGCGATTTTCCTGACTCAGCCTCCCAAGTAGCTGGGATTACATGCACCCACCACCATGCCTGGCTAATCTTTGTACTTTTAGTAGACTGTGACAGGGTTTTGCCACGTTGGCCAGGATGGTCTCAAACTCCTGACCTCAGGTGATTCACCCACCTCGGCCTCCCAAAGTGCTGAGATTACAGGCGTGAACCACCGTGCCTGGCTAAATATGTATGTATCTTAATAAAATTACACCCTCCCTGATTTTTAAATTGATGATGTCTTCTAACATTTCACCTACAGAATGCCAAGGGTGAATACAAGGGTCTTTCTAGGAGCAGACGTGGCATGTTCCTAAGACCTTGGCATCAGGCTGAGCTGGATTCAGCTTTCTTCCAACTGTGACCTGGGACCAAATACTTCAGCTTTCTAAGCCTCAACGCACTCACTTGTAAAATGGGAAAATTTCATTTATAGGAAAAAAGATCAGAATTTAAAAACAGCATCTTTTCTCTAGGTGGTAAAATTAAAAACAACTGAAGACAGTTGTTTTTTAAAACAACATGAAGACATGCTTTTCTGAATTTCCAAATTTTATGTAATAAACATGTACTTAATTTAGGAGGAAAATCCCAAATTAAAAAAAAAATTCTTAAGTTCAAGAGTATGAGATACTGTTTACACGTGAAGGGCGTGACTCTACCAACCCATTGCAACGTTTTTGTGGGTGTTTTTTGTAAATATAATTAGTAGTTCAGCTTATTTTTATTTAATCTTCACAAGCCAGTGGACAAGGGCTGGGTACCC